GTCCAACACCCTTTCATCATTGTAATATCCCTGAAAATAGGATGTTTGCGGGTTTTTTATTTGGTACCCACACACATAATACTTAGTACATTTCCTTATGCACATATAATCAGTAATTCATTATATATTGAGTATGATGTGGTTTGCAGAATGATTTAAAGCAGCAATAAAGGAAATTTGCATGTTTTTAATTTTTGTATGGCAGAAGATGAAAATGTTTGCAACATATGACAGGGTTTTGATATCCAATAATTGAAGAGCTCATTTCAGTTGATAAGAAAAAAGACTGTCTGAAAAATGGGCACAATACATTAAAATGTAATTCCAAAAAATAAAAATATAGATGGCTAATAAAGCATGAAAAGTGCTGAACATCATTAGTTATAAAAAGTACGGGTAGGACTTCCCTGGTGGCGCGGTGGTTGAGAGTCCGCCTGCCAGTGCAGGGGACACGGGTTCGTGCCCCGGTCTGGGAAGATCCCACATGCCGCGGAGTGGCTAGGCCCGTGAGCCATGGCCGCTGAGCCTGCGCGTCCGGAGCCTGTGCTCCGCAACGGGAGAGGCCATAACAGTGAGAGGCCCGCGTACCGCAAAAAAAAAAACTACAGGTAAAAACTACGAAATGCTGAGTATCACCTTTCATAGTATCAATAGTTAAAACAATTATCAGTATTGGCAACATTGTGGGGAAATAAGTCCTGTCATATTCTTGGTGAATGGAATGTGAGTTGGTACTACAACTTTAGGAAACATTTTGGCAATCTCTTTCAAAAGCCTGAAACTATAAATTTCCATTTGTTTATTCACATAGAGTGCCTACTATGTCCTCAGCATTGGAATAAGACATAAAATTCCTGTTCTCCTGGAACTTTCATTCTGATTGGAAGGTAGATTGTCAGGTACAAATTTAAATAATTCTTGAAACTTTAAGTTGATTTTTTGAAATAATAGAAAGTAAAAAGATAAAATTTGATACCAAATATTAGCTTTACCTGTCTTTTTTTTTTTTTTTTTTTTCTTGGCCGCGCTGTACAGCTTGTGGGATCTTAGTTCCCTGACCAGAGATTGAACCCAAGCTCTCGGCAGTGAGAGCGCGGAGTCCTAGCCACTGAACCGCCAGGGAATTTCCTGTATTTTCTTATATGATATGGATGAAGGAAAGATAAAACATGTATGTATATTGAGTGTGATTAGAATCTTGAGTTAGAGGAATCCTTATAAATCATAGTTCCTTCTATGTTCTCATATGGAGCAGATATACCTGAAACTTATTGGTTACTTAGTGATAGCCATAAGGAAAGCCCTATCCATTTTGAGGCGGATTTATTCTTTATAGAACTCTCTGCCCTCTGCCTTCCTCCTAAAACTATTTCTTCCCAGTTCCATTATATATCTAGATCTATGAGGCATCTTTTCCCCCTTTCCCACCTCAGTTCTCCCAAGTCTTCTACTATCTTAATCCAATTGCTTCAACTAATTATTAATCCCTCTCTAACCCACTTCCAGTCTATCAGCAAATCCTGACATCTTTACCAAAACATGTTCAGAACCCAACCATTTTTCATCTATTCTCCCACTCTAGCCAAGCCACCATTATCTTTCACTTGAACTGTAATAGCCAGCTAATTGGCTTCCCTTTATCTGCTCCCTGGCCAAAATCCCCAAGTGGCTTCCCATATCAGAGTAAAAGTTGAAGACTTTCATTGTCCTATGTGATCTGCAGTCCCCATTTCTACAGCTTACCACCCACCTCCGTGTTCATCTGATCCCATCCCAGGGCTTTTGTGCTTACCATTTCCTCCATCTGGAAACTTCCCCCAGACAATTACATTTCTCACTAACATCCTTCGATAGTCCCTGTTCAACTATCACATGACACCTCATCACCACCTTCTACCTTCTTTCTCCTGCTTTATTTTTCTCCATCGTGTATTGTATACGGTACTATGTGTCCATTTCTCCATATATACCGTATTTGTTGGGGAAGCTACCCCCAGCCCCATTAGAACATATGCCCTCTGAGGGCAGAGACTTAAGTTTTGTAAGCAGTGCCAGGCATATAGTACATGCTTGTGAAAATGTGTCAGATGGATGGATAGACCAATATTACTGAACCTCTAATAATTCTAACTCCTTTCTCTGGATATCTATCACATGTCAACGTCTGTCTTAAAATGTGATGATCATTGACCTGGGCAATGCAGAGTGCGGTAGAACTACCACCTCTGAATCTAGGTATTCTACTTATGTCAATAGAGCCTGTAATGTCAGTCACTTTGTGGGGAGGGAGGGACAGTAGTTAAGTTACAGTGTGCAATTCTGTGGGGAACAATATGGGTTTTCTTTACAGAGAAACTAGAAAGAAAGAAAAACAAAAAAAACCTTGAGAGAAACAAGTCTAGTCTGCTGCCTTTGAACACACAGCCCCAAGGATCCTTAAAACTAGCAGTTGAATTACTCTAGCCAATTACCAGTATGTTTTTGCTGAAGTCACCATTCATGTATACGCAAGGCACTGTGTACTAGGCGTAGAGAAAGGAATACAAAAATAAAATGTAAAAGGAGCCTGTCCCAAATGTCTCACTGTCAAGATAATCCACATAAGTAACTACAATACCTGCTGCAAAGTGGTAAGTGCCATAAGAAAGATACTGATTATTGCCTTAGTTGTTCAAGAGGAGATATAACTTATTTGAGAGGAAAGCATTTGAGCTAAGACCTTAAGGTAGGATCTGGACATACTGAAATGTCTTTCTAGTGTCTAGGCAGAAGGAAAAGCTTAAAGCAAAAGAATGGATTTGGTAACCACAAGAAATAGTGACTAATATAATCTGGCTGGAAGTCATTTGGTAAAGAAGAAAAGTAAAGATAAAAGATGAAAAAGGAAATGTAGAGCCAAAACACGGAGAATTTTAAATGCCAGGTTAACAAACCTAGTATGTAGGAAATAAGAGTTATTGAAAGTTTCTGACCAGGAAACATAACCAGTCTGAGCTTAAGTATAATCAGTGGATGTGAATAAAGGATCTGTACTGGGAAGGGCCATTTTAGTAATCCACCCAAAATTAGAATAGAGGCTTGAGTGGAGTAGCAATAAGAATAGAAAGGTGGAAAAACATAAAAGATATTCTGGAGGTTCTAAAAAGTTAGCTGTTGGTTGAAAAAGCTTGAGAATGAAGCGGGAAAGGGTAGGCAGTGGTGGATGAGGTTCTTGAGCTCGGGTAGCCTCATTATGGAAACTGAACCTCCAGGAAATGAAAAGCATGTTTGAAAGGAGTTTTAAATATGGTATATTTCATTTGAGGTGCTAAAAGGTATTAGAGATTACTCTCAGCATGTGAGATTAGAGAGATGTGGGAGACATCCACATAGAAGGGATCAATGAAATTGTGTTGGGGGGGTTAGAGAGGCAATGAATATGAATGTGTGAATATGGCTATATTAGGAAAGATCCTTGAGGTCTCTGAATGTCAGAAGGAGCCAGAGAAAGTAGAAAATGAACGGTCTGAAAAATTTAGAGAAGTGTAATCCACTATGAAATGCAGAAAAGTTAAGCTTGTGTTCGATTTTTTTTGTTCATTCCCAATATTTGTGGATTAAAATAGCTGAAATGAAGTAATTAAGAGACTCAATAGAAAACACTGACAAGAATAAAGAAATTATGAGTAAATGATGAAAAGGGTACAAGTTACTCTGTCCCATAATTCTTTAATTAACTACCTCTACATCACAAAAGGTAGGCCTCTGGAGTGCTTTGTACCTGTAGCCCTTTTGGAACAATGATGATTGAGGTGTTATGTTTACTTCCTAACAACATTGTTAGAATAGTTTTAGTGTAATCAGTTTAATCAGGGATATTTAAGACTGCAGGTGGCACTAGTAAACTTAAATATATACAGTATATACACATATACATACATATGTATATACATAAAAATACCTTGGAGCAAAGTCTGGGAGAAACAGACCAGTCTTCCAGAACTCTAGACCTTTAATAACCCTGAATCCATCTATAGTGAGAAAGAAGGAATCTCTACTGGCATTTCTTCTGTCCTTCACTTTTTCCTTATTTTCATTCATACTTAATTTGTGTTAATCTCAAAGCTGCTACATGCTATGCACAACATAGAAATGCATTTTCTTGTGTGTATTACCGGTAGGCTACTTCAAGCACAAGCCTAGAATTGAAGGATTTAAATAATCTGATTAGAACCCTTTAAATTACTGTATTAGGAATCAAAAAAAAAAATGAGCATTTCTTTGACCCATTACTTGACACATCAGGTCTTTGCCCTGGATATATTATCAATATTTTAAAGGAAATGTTTGATTTTAAAAATCAAAGAGGGATACCCGGCCTTCTATTGTTTCACCAGTGTTGCTCTAGACCCCAGCCTCCCTTGTCAAACTGTAGTTTAAGCACAGCACATTTAAATTTTTTTAAAAGAAGACTTTGACTTATTTTCACCTAGCCTTGGAGCATATTATCGATGGTTTCAATCGACAGAACAGAAGCTCTCCACCTTGGGAGTGGAGTCCATACTCAGCCTTTGTAAACTGTTCAAAATCAATCCCTCGGCTCCATTTGGAAGAAAGCGTCCGTGTCCTTCCTCAGCGTCCTGCGCCCCTTCTCCAGACCCCTTCTGTCGACGTCCTAGCATAGCAAACCAAGGCAGCACAGAGGAGCCTCAGGGAGCGGGGGAGGGGGAAGAGGGGTTGGGATGGGCGGCCGAAAGACGGTCTGCTGCGGTGGGGGAGAGATTGCGCGCAGCCCACCACCAGCACCGGGACCCGGGAGAGAAGGGTTCCGCTAGGGCCGGGGTGCAGAGGAAGCCGGGGCCGTGTGCATGGGCCTTGCCCGCACGCTCTCGCCGCCTCCTCCACCCTTTTCAGGCCGCTCCCCGCTTCTCCCCACCCTCCGAGGGAGGTTGGTACATTCCCAGTGACTCCGAGAGCTTAAAAAGGGCCCGGGGAGGCCGAACCTAGCAGGTTTGGTCTAGATTTGTGTGCGCGGCCCGTACTCTGATCCGCCACGGTGGGTATCTTGGCGGGGGTTTCTTTACGCTGTGGCACTCGTGCATCTGGGGTCTTCGTGTCTGTGTGTAACTGTCTGGCTAGCAGCTAGGAACTCTCGCCCCCGGCTCCTCGGCTCACTCAGTTCCTCCGTCGCAGCCCAGCAGCGAGACGCGCGCCGCCAGTCCGCAAGGGATGGAGCGGACCGAGGTGCTAAAGCCACGCACCCTGGCCGATCTGATCCGCATCCTGCACCAGCTCTTCGCCGGCGAGGAGGTCAATGTGGAGGAGGTGCAGGCCGTCTTGGAAGCCTACGAGAGCAGCCCCGCCGAGTGGGCAGTGTACGCCAAGTTCGACCAGTACAGGTGAGCGTGCTTTTGCCCTGATCGCCGAGACTCTCCGGCGCCGACTCTTGAGTCCGAGCGGGCGCCGGCGCGGGCGCGTGGGGAGCGGGTCTTGACTCCCGGAGAGCGCGGGCCGCCCGGCACCCGCAGCGCCCACCCTCCCAGTGCTCCCGGCCGTTTCCCGAACCCCAGCGCCGTGCCTCCTCGCCCGCGAGCACCGGGGCTGGCGTTCGGCGCTTTGGGCCGAAGGCGTGTCCCACTGGCAGGAGACTGCGTCAGGCTCCCAGAGGGGAGACCACCGAGCGGTGCAAGTTTTCTGTTCTTTTCTTGTTGATCAACCCCTCGGCTTCCGAACGGCCACTCCTTCTGCCACCCGCCGCCCCCCCCCCCTCCACGCCAAGCGGAGCCGTCGCTAGCCTAGGACACAGGGAGACTAGGCTAGGTTAGCCTAGCCACCGGGAGACCCCGGTGGCTGGACGCCCTCAGACTCTGGCTGTCTGGGCTAACCGGGGTGTTCTCAGGAGAGCACTCCAACAGTGGTCCGGAGAAAAGGGTGACGGTGGAGGACGCAGTTAAACGACACCAATTCTCCATCACTTCTCCCTCGGTCGCTTGCAAGCAGGCGTCTGCCAACAAGCATTTTTGTTAATACAAAATAACGACTTGGGGTTGTCAGCTGCTATTTTTCAGTTTATGATGCCCCCTCTCCCAAACCAGTTGGACTCCCCGGGCTGGGGGTTTATTTAAACCCACTGTCAGGTTCTCGAAATAAACGAGTGCTTTTCTTTCAGCCCCCAAGCAATATGCTTTTCCTTATCCTTAGATCTGAGGGTCTGGAATGTAAATTGGAGACCCCTGCTCCTCAGAGGTGCTTGAGTGAGATGCCTTGGCTTGGAGATTAAATAAAAAATGAAACAGCCTACCAATCCTCTGGGGAGAGAAGTAAAATTTAATCACCCTGAAGAATGAGGGTTTCTTTTCCGAAGGGTAACCAGCGCTTCAGTCTTAATGGTTGGTTGTGATGAGGTCAGGGAAAGGAGCATAGTTGAAAGAGAAGAATAAGAAAAGATGAAGTTTTCCTTTGAAGCCGTTTCAGTTAGTCACTTTACGTCAGCATATACAGTGTGTTTGGTAAAGTTTTGTTGCCAAGGGCTGTTTCAGTTGTACTTTAGGAACTGAAATAGAAAAGTGAAGTCTACTTAGGATCCTATTTTCCACTTGCAAGTGGTTCTAGGAAATTCCTTTGGTTCCTATCCTTCTGTGGCTGCCCATAAAGCTACCAGAGTAATTTTGCCATTAGCTCCAAGTAATTGAGGGCTTGTTGTGGGCTCTAGTACTCTTCCAATCACTTGACACATGTATTAACTGATTACCTCACAACAGCTCTCTGAGATAGCTACCATTCTTATCCCTGTTTTACAGGTGAGAAATAGTAGGCAATGAAAAGGTTGGATTACCTGCACAAGGTCATACTAATGTTCCTTAGCGGCTCCAGGATTCAAATTAGCATTATTGTTCTAGAGCCCACACTCTAAACCACTGCTAAACCCCCTGTAGACACAAAGTGGCCATAATAGTTTTCTTCTGCCTAGATTTATTACTGACCAAGTGAAATTAATTAAGCAGGGTATGCTGTATGGGCTTTTAATCTATAGAACAAGGGCATTTCCAGGGGCCTTGAATTTATCTTGATTGACAAGCTCTAAACCACTTGAAACCTTTGGATTGACCTATTCCACAGATTTCTGAAGCACAGCTCAGTAAAATAATGGGTACACTCCTAGGCGGGCAGTTGGAGTAGGGAGGGAGAGAGATGGGAGAGCAGAAATCAATGTGGTAGTATTTTGCGCATGTAATAAGTGTCCTAGTACTGTGAAGGAATCTGATCTCTGACCTTGGGAAGGCCAGTGCAGAAGAATCAACACAAAGTATGTTCCACTGGGGGCCAAGCAGTAAACTGTCTGGAAGAAGCCCCAGAGAAGCAAGACCCTAGGGCTGGAGGAGAGAAAAGTAGGATCTCTGGTACAGGAACCATTTACTGTGAATTAAAGGCTGTGTGCACAGCCACCTGCTAGGTCATTAAAAGGGCTCCAAAGTAGACTGATATCTAAAAAGCACTTACTAATCAACTCTCTCAGTGATCCTACTCTGCCAGCACCTGGCCTCCAGCTTAGGGGAGGAAGGGACATGTGGGACATAAGTGAACAGATGACCATGTGAACAAACAAAAGGGATAAAGATTCCTTTCCTTAAAAATGAGTCTATCGTAGAGATCAAATGTCTGGATACCAAGGGGAAAAGGGCCGGGAGGCGGGGGGCATGAACTGGGAGATTGGGATTGACATATATACACTACCATGAATAAAATAGATAACTAATGAGAACCTACTGTATAACACAGGGAACTCTACTCAATGCTCTGTGGTGACCTAAATGGGAAGGAAATCCAAAAAGAGGGGATATATGTATACGTATAACTGATTCACTTTGCTGTACAGTAGAAACTAACACAGCATTGTAAAGCAACTGTGCTCCAATAAAAAGTTTAAATTAGTCTAAATGTATGTCATAATTATCAAACTTTGTTAATTAGATGGTGTCAAGAGTACCTGTGGGACCAATAGAAACTTTAAAGTTGATTTTTTTGGAGGGGGTGGGGGGATGGTGTGGATGTGGTTGTTTTGGTTTGGGATTTCTGGGGGCTAATTACTAATTTCTCCTCATTGTAAAAGGTTTAGAGTGTTATTTTACTTCCCAAGTGTAGTCGCTTTTGTTCTGGTACTTAGGTCAACGCTCGCTCTATTTGTGGAGGACGTTTCATCATGATGCTTTTGAATGTGGATGTCGCTAGTGTCTGGACTCTAGTAAAACTAAAGAGAATTCTAGAACAGTTACTTAATGAAACTTTGTTTCTCAAATTCTAGTTTAGCTACAGGGAGGGGCAAAAAAAGACAATAGCAACATTCTTGCTTAGAGCAGTAGTGCACTTTGAAAATGCTTTTTGTGAGAAATTTTTATTCTTTTTATCAGTTTGAGGCTGTCACATGGAGACTCAAGGAATTTAATTTTTTTCTCTTACCTTTTTCGTGCCATTAATTAGAACTGAGCAGCTATAAACACAGTGATTCAAAATACAAAAATGTCTAAATGAACTGTGAAAAAATATTTGCTTTCATTTGTGCTCAATTTCTAATTAGACAACCACATTTAAAGTTGCTTCAAGGTAAAAATATTAGCATTTGTAAATGAATGATACTGTATGACACACTTATTTTTCCCTGTGTTTGTCTCATCCACCAAATTCAAACTTCTGAAAACGTTCTTTTCAGATATACCCGAAATCTTGTGGATCAAGGAAATGGAAAATTTAATCTCATGATTCTATGTTGGGGCGAAGGACATGGCAGGTAATACAACTATTCATTCAGATATTTATTCAGTATTTATTCCAGCATGTGAAAAGTACAGTGCCAGGCTGGCCACATGCCTTGTGAGCACTAACAAATCACATGTTGTAATTATTTGTTCACAATGTCCCCTAATCCCAGCAAAAATTCTCATGGGAATTAGCGTGAGGGGTTTAGTATATACCATGTATTATGACAGACCTTCCCCCCAAATGAGTAGTAAATCAAAGGAGGTGGAGGTAAGTAACCAGCTTAATTTAATCTCTCTGTGTTCTGTGGAGTTAAACTTTCTATGAAGTTGTGCTAAAACTTGACCTTTGTGGTGCTTTGAAGTGTGTAAACAATTGTCGGACCAAAGACCAAAGCATCCAGATTTGGAGCTAGAAAAGCAATTCACAAATTCAGAAAATTTCTTTCTACTTCAAGCTAATTGTTTATTTTCTGTATACAGAAGATAAGACAACTTAGACTAATACCAATTCTTGAAACTTGGTCCCTTAATTTTATACATTTGCAAGTCTTACTACCAGTCAAGTATTGTTACCTCTTTAAGCAGATCCTTCTCAGTCTCTTGAGAATGGTAAAAAAAAAAAAAAAAAAAAGCCAATAATCCATTTTTGGTGGGAAAAAGTAAACATGAATTTACAAGATTTTGGAAAGTTAGGTCTATAGAGTGCATTTATTTACTCATATACAATGAAGTTGTTTTCATTCTCTCAATATTTCTTGAAAGCAGATTATATGTCAGGAGTAGAACAAGGCTCTGTGAATTAGGAAACAAGTTGTCATGATACATATATGGGGTAACAGAATTCAACATATGAAATACATGCTATAGCATATACAGGTTCATATTTTTTAATCAACCCTATAGCTAATACTATGTAATAAACTTAAATACTATTTAAGATTATAGGAATAAATTCTTTCTCCAGATCCAATTTGCTTTTTTTCTCCCATCAATATTGGGAGGTAATCACAGATAGGATACTCTAAATGTATAAAATATTAACATTTCATATGCTTTATAGTATAATTTTCAGCTGGTAACACACATGTGCATACCTTTTGTCCCCCAGAGGAAGGAGAAAAAAGAAAAAGCCTGGAAAAAAACACTGTTATGTGATCTTCTCATTGTGATGCAGTTACAGATAAAGGATTTTTTTCCGCTCTAAAATTTCTGTAATGTAGTTTTTAAGTCAAGTTCTAGCCCAGCTTAATTGAGTTATTAAAAGCTATATTTTGGAGAAGATAAATGGTTACTGGTTTTGTGTTTCTCTTATCAAAGTAGTATTACAACAAGGTTTAAAAAGATGAATTGTTCTTCAGTAGGGCTATGGGTCAAAACTGTACCCCTTATATGCATTGATATGGAAGACATAGTATTTTATTACTTTGCCCTGAACAATGTTGAATTATAAATTGATGACATTTAAAACTCCAGCTGAAATGGATATTGGCCTGGGAGATGTCCTATTGACAGTCGCAGCTGTTAAGCTGTGGACAGATTGTTACAAGTGTGGGTTCTGGACCACCTACTGAGTTTAGTTGTCATTTTGTGTATATATAGCAGTATCCACGATCACACTGACTCCCACTGCTTTCTGAAGATGCTGCAGGGAAATCTAAAGGAGACATTATTTGCCTGGCCTGACAAAAAATCCAATGAGATGATCAAGAAGTCTGAAAGAATCTTGAGGGAAAACCAGTGTGCCTACATCAACGGTAACATCCAATTTTTCTAACAAGTGGGAAAAACCTTGAACTCCCACTTGAAATATTGCTTGCTTATATGTGTGCAATAGAACCTGGATCGTGGAGTCATGATTTCATCTGCTTAGGAAGTAATCTAAAAGCAGTGGGTTTTGTCTTTTTAAAGCTTTGCGTGTGGATTGGAATCACTTATTAAAAACATATGCATGCAGGTTAGTGTCCACTGAAGAGTCATTTACCTACCAAGTCTTAGGACAGTTAGAATCGAACATGAATTTACATAAGTAGAGTCTTTTAATAAAGGCGTGAGGCCAAGTTGGAAGTGTTAGTGTTTCATTAGAAAATGTAAAGAAATGTTCCAGAACTGATTAAGAATGTCCCTGTTTTACTAAAGTGCATACAGCTTACTTTAAAAAGAGTATTCTCAAGAGAAATTTTTTGAAGCACATTATTTAGCAATGATTTCTAGGTCTCTTACAAAGAATTACAAAGATCTAGATCTCTTACAAAGAGATTTCTAGATTTCTTACAAAGATCTTACAAGGATCTTTCTTACAAAGATCTTTCTTACAAAGATCTTTCTTACAAAGATCTTACAAAGATCTCTTACAAAGAGATTTCTAGATCTCTTACAAAGAATTTATTCTTTCTTCTAAATGTGATATGGGAGAGCCAAATGCTCTTCAGTAGAGGCAGTGATTAACATCTGTGTTCCTAAAGGACTTAGTAACTTACCAAAAAGCTCCTTAAAGCTTCCATGAGATAACTTTTTTTTATAATTAATTTATTTATTTTTGGCTGCATTGGGTCTTCGTTGCTATGTGCGAGCTTTCTCTAGTTGCGGTGAATGGGCTTCTCGTTGTGGTGGCTTCTCTTGTTGTGGAGCACGGGCTCTAGGTACATGGGCTTAGTAGTTGGTGGTGCACGGGCTTAGTTGCTCTGTGACATGTGGGATCTTCCCCTACCAGGGATCGAATCCGTGTCCTCTGCATTGGCAGGCAGATTCTTAACCACTGTACCACCAGGGAAGTCCTGAGATAACTTTTTATATTATTCCCATTTACAGATGAAATTGCCAACACATAGGAAGATTAAATAACCTGTCCAAGGTCACTCAGGATTTGAACCCAAAGAATTTGATGCCAAAGCCCACGGTCTTAGTTAGGATGCTATCCCACTTATATAAAATAAAATATTACAGAGCTTTTTCTGGCAAAGCAGGTTCTTTCTTCTTAGATCTTAACGTTTTTGATACTTGGCCTAAATTTGTTCAGTTAGTTTAAGAATGCAAGTCAGTTACAGAAGTCAGATTGTATAGGAAGTTTTTCCCCCATTCACATAACAAAGGAGTTAGTTTCTCAGATGGTAGGAGACTCTTATTTGAGGGTTGCTGTATATAGCAGGCACACCAGATTTCTAAGAACAAGATTGCTGGTACTGCTCACAATAAAGCCAAAAGCCTTTCAGAGTAATAACTTTCAGCTAGAGTCATTATAAAGCTACATTAGATCTTGGAGAACACCTAAGATTTTTTTTTTAAGGGTCTTCAATGCAAAAGTCTGTAGGAGCCAAGCAGGTAAAGTGAGTGAGTGATGCAGGCCGGAACTAGGCTGTGGGAACTGGTGTGCAAGCTGCCCTGTCTAAAGGGACAACGTGGTCACCCAGCTCCAGTGAGATCGTCCTGACTTCTTTTTCCATAGAGGTGGGAAATTCTGATTGTTATGGGAAATTCTGCCAATCAGTAAAATACTCGATAGGACAGGCGAAATATTTCTGTAGATGCATTATTCAAAAGCCACCAACTTGTAACCTTTGATTTTTTACAGATGCAGGAGGAGGGCTAGATGTGGATAGTGATTGGGGGGGAAAGGTGTTTCAAGTACAAGAAAGAACATGGGTGAAGGCACAACCCATGTTCAAAGAACGTTGTTCATTCAAACGTTGCAAAGAAGGGAAACTATGCAGGAACGGTCTAGCCGGAGGGGAAGATGAATGGGCTTGGATAGGAGTAGTAGGAGAGTAAAGTAAGATCAGGGCCTTAGCCTCCAAGACTAGCTTAAAGTAAAAACTTTCTTTGGTCAGCAGAATTTTGTTCGGGAATATCTTGATTAATCCAGTAGCAATATGCGTCATAGGGTGGAAGAAAGGGAGAGTGGGGCAAGGAGATCAAGTTACTTATTGTAATAGGCAGAAGGTGAACATTGCCTCATCCAAGCTGGCATCCCTAAGTATCACCAAGAAAAGTCCAATATTACTGTGACAGAGGGTACATCATTGGCATAAAGGAAAAGGAGGCACAGACATAATAATAATAATAATGCTGGGATTACTAACATTTAGGGATCAGACGTGAGCTTTGGGGACTTCTAAAGGATGGGTGACTTGTTTTTGTGCGATCTTTGCTTGCATTGGGTGGTCTATTGGAGGTGCAACTGGAGGAAAAAAAGTTATTTGTATAAAGGGCAGTCAGTTCTTCAGAATGTTTAACTTTTGTTCAAAAGCAAGCCAGTGTATTATAAAAGCAGTAGGCTATAGAATCAAAGAGTTTGCAGATCTGAGAATTAGGCCCCATGTTTTGTTTTTGTTTTTGTTTTTGTTTTTTTGCGGTACACGGGCCTCTCACTGTTGTGGCCTCTCCCGTTGCGGAGCACAGGCTCCGGATGCGCAGGCTCAGCGGCCGTGGCTCATGGGCCCAGCCGCTCCGTGGTATGTGGGATCTTCCCAGATCGGGGCATGAACCCTTGTCCCCTGCATCGGCAGGCGGACTCTCAACCACTGTGCTACCAGGGAAGCCCAGGCCCCATTTTTTTAAACGAGGAAGACAGAAGATCCAAGAAGTTCTGAGTTGTTCAATGTTAGTCAGTCTAGCTGGGAGTAGAACCAAAGTCGTCTGCTTCTGGGCTTTGCTCTTCTTTGTCATGCAAGCTCATGGAGCTAGATCGTAAAGCATAAGGCCAAATTAGGTGCCTATACTAACTACACTAATACACTGAATTCCTTCCTTGATTAATCTTCCAACTCTCTCCTTACTATATAAATTTCTTATCAACATAGTTATAAAAATCAAGTATTTTGTTTATTTTAGTCTTCTTGAAGGCGTCTCCCCCAGGCCTTTTGACTTCCTTCAGTGTGGATTGGTTGGCCAGGGCTCATCCTGTGGTCCCCTCACATCATCCAGGCTTTCCCTTTACTCCCTCCTGGTGCTTATCCCCTTGTTTCCTGGTCTCGTCTGCTTTGTCTTGGGTTCGTGGCCTTGTTTTGGTGGAACATATCCTCCAATGGCCCTATGAGAAAGGGTTCGTGGAAACTAAATTTCTGAGACCTCTTATATCTAAAAATCTCTATATACAACCCTTGCAACTTGATAGATAATTTAGCTGGATATGAAATCATGACCTGGCAGTCATTTTCTCTCAGAACTATGAAGGTAATCTTTTGTCTTTCATTTTCCATTCTTCTTGTTCAAAGCCTGGTACCATTCTGATTTTTGAATCTTACTATGTATGAATCCTATTATTTCTCTCTAGAAACTTTTGGGGACTTCTCTTTGGGTGTCTTTTCTCTGTCCCCAGTATCACAGTGATGCAGTTTGTTTCATGACACTCATTGTGGTGGGAGCTCAGTAGGTTCTTAACAATCTAGAAATTCATGTCCTTCAATTCAAGAAAATATTCTCAAGTTGTTTCTTTGATTTTGTGGTTGTTGCTCTGTTTCTGAAACTACTGTTGATCAGATATTAAACCTCCTGAACTAGTCCTCTAGTTTTTTGGGGTTTTGGGTTTTTTTTAAATCTTTCCTATGTTCTATCTTTGGCCCTTTGTTCTTTGAGTCTTTGTTAGCTTTTTCTTCCAACCCTTCTATTCGGATTTTTATTTCTGCTATCATCTTTATATTTCTAAAAGCTCTTTTTATTCTCTAGTCCTTTTTATATAGTATTTTCCTCATCTCTCTTTTTATTTTCTTTTTTTTTTGGCTACGCTGTGTGGCTTGCAGGGATCTTAGTTCCCTGACCAGGGATTGAACCCATGCCATAGCAGTGAAAGCACTAACCACTGGCCTGCTAGGGAATTCCCTTCCTCTTAGCTCTTTGAAGATATTAATGATAAGTTTTTGGTTTTGTTTTTTTAAGGCTTCTCTTGAGTAGTGTCTATTTCATGTTGCCTTTTTTTCAGGTTGCTCTGACCTCTTTTATACTAGAGGCTCTGCTCACATGTGTGATGGCCTTGACTATGTGCTAATATTTAAAAACCAGAGACAAAAAAGTTAATTGGTAGCTTTCAAACATGGATGGTGTTTGTCAACTGGACTTCACTCTAGGATCATCTGGTAAATCTTTTCCTTGAGGAACAATCAGTGGTGATATCCTCAGGACTTTTTTCTTGAGCTCATCAGATTCTCAGAGAAGCTGCTTCCCATCTCCTGCCTGGAGAAGAAATTCCTGTCTGGCAGCATTCTGGCAGCCATGTGATGAAGAAAGTGGAGATCTTACCACTCAGTGTGTAAATTTTCACTTAAGTCACCTGTTTTTCACCAGGTATCCACCAGTCCTGAGTTTATCTGTTGTACTCTTTCTAGAGAATAGATCTCCAATTTCTACCAGGGATGGAGGGAAGGTGAGGTGGTGAAAAAGCTTTGTGATGAAACTTAAATAGGCTTCAACCAGTTCTTGTATTTATAGCCCATGTTCACCTTCATTTCAGGAAGTACATGTGCTGCCAGTTCCTGAGCTGTCTGTTAGTTTCAGGATATAAATCAGGTTATTTCTTGGCCATCTCCAAGGGTAGCTGAGGATTTAGCTTTCTCTCCTCTGCAAAGCCATCCATCTACTTCTAAGTTTTCAAATTTTTAAAGATTTTTTTTTAAACTTTAATAAAAAAGTTTTTTCTTTTCCCTTTATCTTTGTATGTTGATGTCCTTTTTATTCTTTTACTGCAGTTGTAGGGAAGTTTTTAGGAGAAAGCAGAATGTGTGTCATTTACTATTTTTAACTGGAAGTTCAATTCTAACTAACTTTTAATAATTCATATGTATCAGTTGATTTAGGATCTTGGGCAATTGACCAGATTTTTACCTACAGCTAGCATCTAAGCTCCTTCATCTACCCACCCCTCTTCAATATTGTTTAGATTCCATTGGCTTACATCGAGTAGAGAATATTAGCCATACAGAACCTGCCGTGAGCCTTCACTTGTACAGTCCGCCTTTTGATACGTGCCATGCCTTTGATCAAAGAACAGGACATAAAAACAAAGTCACCATGACATTCCATAGCAAATTTGGAATCAGGACTCCATTTGTAAGTATAATTTCTCTCTCCTGTGTTTAAATGCTTTGTGGGTTGGCAGCATTACACTGATGCATTGCTTTTTTTTTCTAGGTATTATTTAAATATCTTAAGTTTTAAGTATTTTTAAGTATTCTTGAGATAAGTCTTAACTTGGAGAAAAGGCCCATTATATTCTATTATTTTCTTTAACTTTGGAGACTGTATTTTCAATTTATAAAATAATACTTAAATTAGATGCAAAGAATTGCTTATTCAAAATTTCAAACTGTATGCTTATTCCTAAAGAAAATATTTTCTCTTCATTTATTAGGGAAATAAGAGTGAGAACTATATTGATAAAACTGCTACTACTATGACTTAATGTCCATAGTTCCAGTTTGCTGAGATAACACAAATAATTTACATAGTTAACCTTTGCAAAGTTGAGACCCTATTCTGATAATAATAAAGAAACTTGCCTGTTTTGATTGCCAAGTTGCTTTGTCTTTGAGTAGTGATGGCAACCAACAATAATATGGTGTGGCAATCTTCTATCACTGAAATAAATTGGCCATTTAGGGGAATGGTCTTTAGTTAGTAGTCATGGGAATGCCCAGAAATACACAATACATGAAAACAAAGACTGAACAACCTTATCAGTCTTATGAAAGTACAGCCTTTGAAAGAAGCTAGGGCAGAATTTTCTCAAGTGATTGCTCTGTTTATTTCCTGCATTCCGAGCCCCAAGAGATATTCTTATCACAGGAATGAAACAGGGCTCCATTGCCATGCAGTGGATTTTCATATACTGCCAGAAAAGCAGGACTACTTAGAACAAGCAGAAATGTCTCATGTAAAGATTCTTACACAGCTTTCTTTTTTTCTTTCTTACAGACAACTTCAGGATCACTGGAGAACAACTAAGAGCACCAGACCCTCTGAGGTTTTACTTTAAGGTCCGGTGAAAGATTTGCCTTGGACAGGAAGCCCTCCTTCTATTTGCTGTCCAGTAATATACTTTACAAGGCCAATACTTAGATCTACTATAAGGCAGATGCTAATTATAAGGCATTAAGTAAGCAAATAGTGCCCTGAGCTACTGTAGAAGAAAAAATCCCACTAAGATAAAAAGGCTTGTGATTTTAAAGGCCAAATCAAGTGCTCCACTCATTTTACCCTCTAAACCCATTGGAACTATACTGGGAATATCGATGAAGGTTTTTATAGTTTTTGGAAACACTGGTCTCTGAACTATAATTAGCAATAAATAAAAACAAGACATCAAACCACCCACCTTGTTACTTGGAGGACTAAATGTAGATGTCTTTATTATACTTTGTACTTAATATTTGAAGAGAAGTTTTTGAATCTGTGCATTTTATTTTTTCAATCTTATTTTATAAATTCCTGTTCTATAAATAATAGGGTATTGTAGATAGAGAAACTTAAGGCACTTTGCCATATGGTAATGAAATGAAGGGCAGAAGATTTAGAAAAATACAGGTACGCAAACCCACAACAAACCAAAACTATAAAATCATGTCTAATGTGTCCAGTGGTCAAAGACTTTGTACTGCTGCCAGAATTGCCAAATAATTTTAATAAAAGTGGATTTGAACATAATTTGAAGTTGTCTTTCTCTTTCACATAAGAATTTCATATAATTCACAGCTTCTTAGGTTTATGCAGACTACCAAAAGCACTGCAAAAGATGCTTTTATGATGTAAGAATATAAGAAGGCCAAAAACTGCATTCAAAAGGAGCTTACCGGGCTTCCCTGGTGGTGCAGTGGTTGAGAGAGTCTGCCTGCTGATTCAGGGGACACGGGTTTGTGCCCCAGTCTGGGAAGATCCCACATGCCGCGGAGCGGCTGGGCCCGTGAGCCATGGACGCTGAGCCTGCGCGTCCGGAGCGCCTGTGCTCCGCAACGGGAGAGGCCACAACAGTGAGAGGCCCGCATACCGCAAAAAAAAAAAAAAAAAAAAAGAGCTTACCTTTTGGGGCTTTTATATGTGTTCACCAACTGGCCAGAGATACCAACCCGAGGGTCTCTGGCCCTAGGGCAGCTCATAGACAATCAGTTTAGCCTGAAAATTGTGTGTGGGGTCTCTATGTGTTTAAATATGAATTGGATTCCAACAGTTAAAAACCAGAGATTTCACAGAAGAAGGAATGGACTTTGAAGTATCTGGCAAGACTGAACCTGCATTGCACTGCTATCACTTAACGGGGCTGGGATCTGCCCTCTGGATGGGGCCGCCTCCCTGATCTGCGGCAATCCCCAGCTTGCCTGTTTCCCTTATTCATGTTACCTACAGAGCCCACACGTGCATTTGAGTTTGCTGCCCCCACTTTAGGCAATTTTCTTGGGAATATCTGTCGTAATCTTGGAATTTATTATCTTTGGGAACTTAATTAGAAAGTAAAGTCCTTTGAAGATGGTTCTGGTTAGGCCGTTGATTGTGGTGTTTATACCACGTCATAGAATTATTTACATCATTATACCTGTGCTTCCTCTCACCTTTGAGAAGGATGTGAACATTTACTGAGTACCTACAATATACTAAGCATTGTTACAAGTTGTTTAGATGTACTAACAAACTGAATTCCAGAAAACTTCCTTGTGAATTAGGTATTGTACTGGTTTTCTACTGCTGCTGTAACACTACCACAAACTTATTTTCCTACAGCTCTGTTGGTCAGAAGTCAGAAGCTTCATGGTGCCATGTGCAAGGCCCATGTCAGAGGCTTATCTTTTGGTGTGGGTTCATTAACCATATACTTGGACAAACTGGTTGATGAATGAAGGCCTCTTACCTGTGTTTCATGGGAAGGGACAGCATTACATCTAATAATGGTGCTTAGTCTTTTTTTTTTTTTTCTGACTGCAACCACTTAGAAATCTCAGATGCTAAAGAACTCTCCAGAAAGGCCCACACACAACAAATTTGCATACAATTTCAGAAAAGATTCCTGGACCCTGTGAAGGCCTTTAGGCCCCAATTAAAGAGCTCTGCCCTGTGTGAGGCTTTCCCAAGTCTCGTGGCAAATGGTGGCTATTTCACTTCATTTTCAGAGCAAGGAAGGTATTAGCAAGCTGGGCTACTAGCTAACCTTTTAAAAGTTACAGTGAGGTTTCTAGGAATCACCAGAGGCTGGTGCAACCTTGTCTGAGACATATCTACACATTTCACAAGGTCAGTTCTCTCTAAAGACATTGCGGACTTTCACAACTTTGCCTAGTTGATAGATGTTTTCTTGAAAAGTGTATGTGGGATACTGAAATAAGCCAGACACGAAAGGACAAATAATATATGATTCCACTTATACAAGATACATAGAAAAGGCCAATTTGTAGAGAAAAAAAGGTAGCCTAGAGGTTACTAGAGGCTAAGGGGTAGGGGGAAATGGGAGTTACGGTTTAACAGGTCCAGAGTTTCTGTTGGGGTTGATGAAAATGATTGGGGTATAGATAGTGATGGTGGGTACACAGCATCGTGAATGTATCTGATATGACTGAATTGGGAATTTATGAATAATTAAAATAGTAAACATTTATTTTCCCACAATAAGTTATTTCTTTAAAGAAAGTGTATGTGGGAGAAAAGTGTGTGTGTGTGTGTGTGTGTGTGTATGTGTGTGTTGGAATAGATAAGACTTCCTATCATAGAGAATACAAACGATATGAAAGGCATCGTGGTGAAAAGTATCTTTTTCATCCAATCCGCAGGCTCTCAGTTTTCCTCTGTCCATGTAACCTAACCTATATTACCACTCTCTTGTGTTTCCTCATTTACTTTTCCCCATTGTTTACACAGGGTAGCATTCTAAAATCCATATGGTGCACTTATAAGATCTTTCCATATCCGAATACAGACAGTTCACTCATTCTTTTGTACTGATGGCTGGCTGCGTGGTATTACACTATATGAATGTATCATAGTTTAGTCCACCAGTCCTCTATTGATGGACTTTGACATGATTTCCAACCTTTAACAGTTACAAACAATTCTGCAATGAATAACCATGTATGTGATGTCATTTCACAAGTATCAGTTGACATGTCTTTATTACAAAACGACCAAGATAACTCAGCCCCCAAAAATGAGGTAATAGTGGAGGGTCATGGCAAGCTGCCCTGGCTGGAGAGGACCACTTGAGTGCAGAAGCTGTCACCTGATGTCATCACTTCAATTCAGCCACTTCCACCTATTCATTGGTCAAGTGTGTTCTCTTGAAGCCTCCAACTGTCAGAAGCCTGACACACAGAGATTACTTATCACAAATAGGAAAGCCCTGTGTTCGTGAGAAAACTAATGATAAATTTAGGATTCTGCCCATGCTCCATAGGAAAGCTGATGCGTTCCTGACATTTGGTTTTTGTTTGCTTTTGTCACTGACATTTTTGAATGATTGAAGATGTGATGGCTTTATGTGCTATTTGAAAACATGCCTCAGGTTGCTTAATGAGGGGCATTTTGTTTATTTCTTAAGTAATTCACAAAGAGATGTAAAGAATCTCAGAGACAGATCTGCTGAATGTGATTTTGAGCACTGACTTAAGCCTAAGTCAGTAGTCTGAGAGATATCCTTATACAAGGAGATGGTCATCTGCTTGACATATTTAAATTTGTATATCATATGCTGCAGTGGCATGTATATTTACCTAAAAGTGCAACCAGAAAAATTCCTTGCACATGAAGGGAAGAAATATAGAGCTAGAAAGTAATCTAATGCAATTGAACATTGATTAGCCTTCCATGCCAAGAGCCCTCCTGGACATGTCATAAGAAAAAATGTGTCATTACAGCAATAGATCACTAAGATGCACCTTTCAGTGAATGAAAGTATGATTATAATGAGTTTATGCAGGATTCATCTAACTGATAAATATAATGCTAGCATGGAATCATGAAGATGAAATGTACTTGAGTGAGCATATTGTCAAACAAATCTTTTGATACGTGAGGAAAATGAGGCAGGTGAAGTTAGGGTTATCCGCTGTCCCAGAGCAGCATTGTGCCGCCCAGGTTCACACAGCCCTGTGGGAGCTGATATTGAGGAATCTCACAAGCTGATTGGTAGATTAAAATTGGCCATAATGGGAATATTTACATTGTGGCAATCTGTCAATACTACAAATCAAAGTATGTAATTCTCTACCTCAAGAGAGTCTGCTAAATATTTGACAGCATATACCACTATATCTAAGGCTATTCAGCCAATTCAAAATAAAGACAAGGTTTGCCTGGACTGTTTAAATATACATTTTTATCCTTTCACTGTTATTGGATTTTTACATATATAGAAAAATGTTATTGTCACTTCAGAGAAATCCTTTAAAGTGAGACAGGGATATTATTTCTCCCCTCCCCATTTCAGAGATGGGGACATGTAGGCAGATGTAGATAAAATAGCTTACCCAAGGACACACTGCTAGGCAACGGGAAAACCAAAATAGATGTTGGTTCTGCCCGGGACACGTTGGACCTTTGGCAGAAGAGAAAAACAATTAAGCAGGGACAGAAAGTTAACAACGCAATGGTGATTCTGTGGCTTTCCTGTCTGAAATCTGTCAACTGGTTCCTGACTTCATAGTTAAAAATATAAATAAATAAATACTCAGGAGGTACTCAGGCTGAACGGGACAGTAAAGAGTTGTATTTTCCCCAGGTGGATCCAATTAATTATTCTGTCAGCAAAGGTTGGGACCGAGCTGTGCTTTATTCCTACTTATTTGAAAGAGCACAAGTTATAATCTTTGGGACTATGTTCATAGTTATACCCCATGGCACCAGACCAGTATTCGAGGTTGTTTTGATTAGGACTCACTGAATTGCAAGTGACAACATGTGACCCAACTGACTTGAACAAAATGAGCTCATGTAACTGTCAAGTCCAGGGAGTCCTCAGGCAAGGGCGGGTCAAAAGCTTCAAAGAGCTTTTCAGTACTCTTACCTTGTTCTCTGCTCTCCTGACTCTGAAGTCTACCCTTGTGGTATAAGATGATTCCCAGTATCTCCAGGCTTACAATGTCCATTTCAATTTTGGCAGAATAAGGGTACAATCTTTCCATAGAAGTTTATGGATTTAGCTATGTGGACTCTGATTTGCCTCATATGCCCATCCCTGACCAAGTCACTATGGACAGCAAGATATGAGCTCAGCCCTGGCCTGAGTCATCTGTTTGTCTCTGGAGTCAGGGATGGAACCGGTTCCACCAAATGAAATGGATTAGTGTGGGGGGCAAGGTCACCAAGGGAAATCAGAATTCTGTTATGAGAA